TCAATATTTTTTTTAACTTAAATAAGAGTGTCTAAAATTTTCAGAAGAGCCACAGTCCTCTTTTGTTGTAAAGTAATTGTGGTGGTGTGGCTTTTATTTTGGAGTTGGATTTTGTTAGGGGGGTTTTTTCTTTGTTTCTTTGATTGGTTTCTAAACAGGCTAATTTTTTATTAACTTCTGCTTTTCTTTACAGTAAAAAATTAAGGGTAAACATCAATGTGCCAATGAAGACTGAACAGAAGCAGGAACAAGAAACTACACACAAAAATATAGAGGAAGATAGGAAACTACTGATTCAGGTGAGTTGTATTGCAAAATGCTGCCATGATCTCAGAATTACAGCTTTGTAATCCTTTAATGAAGCTTACTGTGGGGTTTTCTTAATTTTTATTAGAGGACAACATGCCATTGCAGTGCACTGTGTTAGAGTTAAAAATGTGTTTAAAATGCTCTTAAAGGTGATTGAAGTCTGTAATAGAAAGTGGAGGAGGGCATTTCTACAGATAGAATGTGTTCTTCACATTTGTTCTAATCTGATGTTGATAATGTTTGGGTTGATAATGTTTGTTGGATGCACACCCTCACCAGACCTTGTTCTGGGTGAAAACTAATAATACCCAAGTAGTATGAAATCAACAGTATTTTTATATCATTTCATTTGGAATCCACTCGAGAAGCAAAGAGGCAGGGGAAGGAGATACACATGTGCTACTAAGAGAGCATTACAGTAAAGTTAAATATATAAAGAAGGCTTTTTGTTACACAAAGTAGTTTCATGTTGCTCTTGGTACCAGCTGGTGCTATTGATAAGACCAACGGTAATTACAGGTCTTAAGTCTTGTGTCAAAGCCACTTCTAAAGCCTGTGTGCTGTGTAGAACCTGACTTCTTATAGTCTGCCTGAGTAGCTGACATTTGTGGGCAAACTTCTCCCTGTCTGGTACTCAGGTTTGTTGTGGTGGTGCTTCTGCACAAGCAGATGTGATCTGTTGGGGAAGTTAAATGTTAAATGGCATTATCCAGGACAAGTACTTTGTTCCTAAGCACACCTTTCCCACTTTGCCGTGCAGGCTGCTATTGTGAGAATCATGAAAATGAGGAAGGTTCTAAAACACCAGCAACTGCTTGGAGAAGTGCTAACACAGCTGTCCTCAAGGTTCAAGCCACGAGTTCCTGTAATTAAGGTATGGGAGAACCACATCTCTGTACCTGTGTTCCAGGAGGTGAGGAGTGTATATATATAGACAAAACACATGCTTCTGAATTGAAAAGGAAAGCTAAGGAGATGGGATGGGTAAGGACAGATTTTTTTGAGTTTTAAGTAAGTAGGAAATGTTTTAACCAGAAATACTGCATTTCTCTTAGGGTAATATGCATGTTTCACATTGTTGGCAGAAGTAAAATAGTAGCTTGATTACATCTTTTCACATCAGTGCCAGCTTACCGTAGCCTTTGCTCCAGGCTTACTGTTTATTCCTGCTCTCCTAGTTGTGGGAGTGCAGCCAGCCTTTGGGTTGGCTTGATGAAACAGCTTCCTGATCTCTTTCAGGATAAAAATGTTGGGATAGGAGGCACTGTATTTAATTATTTACTAATAATTGTATTGATTTTATTAATTACTAATTAATGTGTGTTAATTTCTTCACCAGATTGTTAAAGTGGGCTCACCATAAAAAAACCAGTGGTTTTTACATACACAGCCAAGGGGATGGGTGGGGCAAAGAAGAGGCAGTGGAGACCAGTTGCATAAACTGGCACCGGTACTGAGGTGCTTCCGGTCAGGCAGTGCCACAGGCAGCTCTTACTGCAGCTGCTGTGTCTAGTGCCCTTACAGTGAGCACTCTGCACCTTGGTTTAATTCTCTATTTGCTGTCTTACTGTGAAGTTGCTCAGCATACTGATGATGGGTTGATCTACCAGCCACTCCCCTGGAATAGCATCAAGTAGGTATAATTCAGTTAAATGGATTAGCAAAGTCCTCTACTTGGATGTGGTCAGAAACAGGAGAGCAAATTGCCATGGTTTGTGCCCTTTGCCTACTCCCATCCTCGGCCTGGCAGGGAACTCCCACGGGGAGTTCCAAATCCTTCAAAGTTTGTAGCAACCACAGAGAGAGGGCTTTTCTGCCAGTGTCCCACCACTGACCTCTGTTCCTCCCACAGAAATGCATCGACATTCTCATTGAGAAGGAGTACTTGGAACGTGTAGATGGTGAGAAGGACACCTACAGTTACTTGGCTTAACATTTTTATTAGCAATTACTTGACTGTGTGACACTCGGCAAATAGGTATGTGATGGAAAGGATGAAAGCGACGGAACTTCATAGCAGCCACCCTGCTGCCATTTGGACCTCCCTTTTTAATAACTGAGACCAGGACTCCCATCAGCCAGTCTCAGATTTACATCAGAACTGCTCAGGATTGATACATTTCAAGTATGTAAATATGGACACCAATGCCATTTAACCTAACTTAAGAACAGAAAGGAATCAAACCCTTCTCCTTTAAGGGTTGCATGCTACTGCATTTAAATCAATACATTGGCTATATGATAAACAGCTGCCATCACAGGCAGTACTTATACATGTTGGCAGCACTTGGAGAGCGAGTCTGAATGGACCCATGTGTAATCTGCTATGAAAAACCATTTGTATAGTGTGTTTCATTTTTTAATGTGTGATAAATAATAAAAAAAAATTAAAAGATTTCTGTACAAGTTGCATTTGGTTTTATTGTTTTAAGTTTCATGACTTATCTTTCTAAATGTAAATAAAAGGTATAATGGTTATGAAAGCTATTAGAAATTCGTTTTGCTTTTCCTCCCTGTTTTCTGGTGATTTAAGCACATTTTGTTCTCTGAAGAAATTGTCATCTATCATCATCTATGCATGTTATTTCTTTTTTAAGAGGAAAGGTCTGCACTTTGAAAATAAAAGGAGGTTGTGATGATTTCACAAGATCTGCAGAATAGAAAATACTTAGGATAGACATGGCAATCCTTGGTCATCTGAAATAGGGGCTGTTTTTAATATTGCTCAGTGTGCTATAAAATGCATCACACTTGCTTAAATGCTACCTGGGATCAATGAGGTTTAGGCTGCCCATTTCTTTGGCTAGAACAGAAAATTGAATGTGTTCCTAAAGATTAATTCCCATTAAATGCAGCCTGTGATGGGAATTAAAATACTTTTGAGTGTTACTACACATACATTGATTGACCAGGCTTCATTCCATTCTTCTCACAACATTTTGTGAAATGAATATTGGCTTTCCACATGCTACAAGCAGGATGCTGCCATCCTCACAAGTCTCATTTTGGTAATTTATATTTTCTAATCATGATGGTGAAAAGAACTTCTGCAGCCAAACCCTTTTTTCCCTTTAGAATTTGTGGTTTGTTCAGTGTTTCTTCTCATAGGAAGATAAAGGAGCCAGGTTTGGTGTTGCTAATGTTTTTCTCTTGAGGGAAACTAATGGTTACAGCTGAACTCTGACCTAAAAATATGTATGGGTTTAAAAAAAAATATGGAGCAGTATTAGATGTGATCCAAAGTGAGCTGGGGGGAGGTTCATCTGCACCTGAGATTTTGCAGGCTTTCTATTCATGTTCTGAATTAATGTTAATTGTACTAAAGACTGCCAGCATGGGGACTAGAAGCATCTTGCTGTTCAGTTTTAAAATTGCTTTTGGAAATTTAGAAGAGTGGAGCTTGTGATGCTTTCAGGGATGGCTTTTTTTTTTTTTTTTTTAGTAGTAGTAATAGTAGTAGTATTGCTGTGTTGTTTTTGTAAACAATTCTTGCAGAAAGTTCAGAGCTAGTAGATTTTTGTAGCAGGATTTAAGAGTGGTATGATGACAGAAAAACAAACAGCCTGAATGTTGTTCTCAGTTGGAAGGCCAGAAAGGACCTGCTCCAAGTTGCCTCTCAAAGCCAAGCCTTAACCCAGGGCTGGTTAAAGCAGTACTCTGTATACTGTCAGCGTGAGACCCAAGAGCCATGTTCTACCCAAGCATAGAGAAAATAAGTTTTTTATGTTTGGACTTCTTTTTTTCTCTCATGAATTCTCAGTTCCTAGGCCAGCACAGAGCAGGAGAGCCTGCTGTACATGAGAGTGTGGCGGTATGTGCTGAACATGACCCCTAGGTGCAAGAAGGTACACAGTCATCGTGGACAGGATTTCTTGAAATCAGTTTTGCAATGTGTCCCTGTGCCTGCCCTCCCACTCCAGCTGTTTTGACTAGAGCACTGTGTTCCATCCAGCAATAGGCTGCAGAGTTCACACTCCACGGGCAAGAAATAAATGTGTGGCAGCCCTGTACGAGACCCAAACGGATTAACTGCAATCTAAATAATTTTGGATGAAACTATATATAAAAAAATGAAGAGGTGCAGAAGAGAAATGTATATGTAATTACTGTTGCATTCATTATTCAGTTGGTGCTTCAGAGATGCCACTGCTGAGGGCATCTTGTACCACAGCTTTGTCTTGAAAGTAGCATTTGTCACAGAACTCGCAGCTGTTCTGGTTTTTGTTTGTGGGGGGGACGACCCTTTTTCCCTTGCATTAAATGCCTCTACTGCTAATGGAGAGACCTCTTGTCTGATGCAACTCGGCAAAAGTGGAGAAAGACTAAAAAAATGCAGTGCAACTCTTCCTGTGACAAAAGGTTAGATGTAGGAGCTGAGGATGTAGGATGTTGGGATGTAAAGGTTAATTGTAGGAGTTTCTCAGCTGCAGCCATTACTCTATAGAGAACATGAATGTAGCTGCCATGCCAAGGGAGCACAAAAACTGCAAGACCAAGACTGACTGAGGTGCTGCAGCACCACCCTTAACCTGACTGATGTCTCCTACACTGTTTGAATCTTCACATGAATCTTAAATGTGACCTAAAGTAACAGTATCAAGAGGGGACAAGGGTGGAGCTGCCTTTGCTCAGAAGTTACAAGTTAAATTCACATTGCTTCCTCAACTGGCTGACACAAAATTCCAACTCAGTTCCAGTAAAAATGAAGAAGTTCAAGTATCCTTTATTCAAGGTTGAAAAATGTACCACACCACATTATTGCAAAAGTTCATAGGTACAAAACACTTTGCAGCTGGTGAGAAGGCAATAAAAAGTTGTTTTTTTTAAAATTTGTTACTATAAATTACTGTTACAGTACTTTGCAAATACATAATTTCAAATTGCATCGTTTTTATTTTTCTAAAATTGCCCACAGTACTAGAAATTCCTGAAGATAAGGCAGCTGTTTGTTTAAAAGAAGAGGTAGCTGGTGTCAAGGGATTTCCATTTCTCTTTCAATGCCCACATACTTAAGGGCATCAGCTTGGCTATATCTGAAATTAAAAAAAAAAAAAAAAGGCAAATAAAAACCAGTATCACTGAACATTTCAGCTTCACTTTTCTGACATGACAGAAGGCACTACAGACTGGAATACTCATACTTAGATTTCCCATAGTTTCATCACCAGCTGGGGCCTTTCCTCCTCGTTTGAATTTGCAGGTGAGGAACAATGCTGACCACTCAAGGAACTACTTTTAGAGGAGTTTGATTAAGAGGAAACAAAATTCCACTAAAATTCCACACTTTTTTTCACCTTGAATCTCACCAAGCTGAAGGTCATTTTAGCTAGTGGAAAGCAACTGCATTTCTGAAGGTTGACTTGCACTGTATTGGCACTGGACAGCTTAGTTTTCTTTAAGTGGGATGATTTTAGAGGAAAGTATGAACACATTCTTATCAAGCACTTCTCTCTAATAACACACAATACTTCTTGCTCATTTCTGAGTGATGGGAGAGTCAGCCCATACTAGTACTAAGGAGCCCTACCAGTTAAAGTTGTGCAGCTCTGTCCCCATTTGTCACTAAACTTTGCTCTATACAAGCTGCTGTTCCAAGTTTGCTCAATTCAGTCTTACTCTGATATCTGGCTTAAAAAAACAATGCAGAGTGTGGATTCTGCTTCTCAGCTGCTGAGACCTGAGGTTGCAAGGACCAGGCAGGTGGAGTAATTAACTATGAGCTGAACAGAGATACTGAAAGCTAATCCAGTCTATGACACAAAGAAATTACAAAATCCATCTACCCACCTGTAGTCAAAGAACAGTTCTTCACCAGTCTGAATGGCTCTTTTAGCAAATATTCCTATTCTGTGATCACCATTAACCATCATAACTGTATAAAAGAAATTTAAGCTTATGTTAGTACAAATACTGATAAAGTGTGCATGCTAAATAAGTATCTCACAACATTTCATACATTGCTGAAAAGCAAGAAAATTTAAAACTTACCTTTTGCATAGCAGTTGGGATTTACTGAATGGTTTGCAAATCTAATTTTGTTGCCCTTGCGTGTTGCATCAACCACAAAATCTAGGGGGGTGGAAAAAACAACAAAACCCACAAATGATGGAGAGTCACCTACAAACAAGTTTTTGTGTTTAGTGCCTAGTGTGCTTGGATTTTAACAGCTGGAGAAGATAACTGCACAGCTTCCTACATGGAAGAACTGGCCCATCATCCTACAACAGATGTACCATTCTGCAAGACAAAATATTCCTGCTGCTCCACACTGTGCTTTCCCTTTACCTCTTGCCACAGTGGCACTACCTTAGCTTCTCTCATTTTGAAGCTTCTATACCTTTATTCCACAAGGACAAGCTCCATAAATATGCTAAGCAAACATTGACATAAGGCAGAGGATTCTTCCTCCTTTCAGCTCTTTTCTGGTATTTTATGCTTGACACTGCAGTCTGTATTTTTATCTGCTAGTGGCAGTAGCCACATAGCATGTATCTGTGTGTGGCTCTCCTTCCCCCCCAACACAATTACCATCATCACTTACTGGTTGATTTAAGTCATAGTAAAATTATTTCAGGCAATACTCAGCAAGCCTTTTAAATTATTTAGTCTACTTAATGCCTGCATCTAATTTTACTCCATGAAATTCAACTTCTACTCATCTTGTATAGTTACTTGTGTAATAGGCTCCATCACTACATCTAGCTGACTAGCATTTAGGGAATAAAAATAAAACACTAGCTATCAAAATTGATAGGGAAAGATGTGCAGAAAAAAAATCTGTGTTACCTGCTGTCTGCAAAAGAACAGGGCTGAACAAAATGGTGAGCATACATATTTTATTTATGCTGCAAGGGTTGCAAACTAATGCATACATACCATTATTCAAGTTAAACAGAAAGCTGCACATGTATTTGTCATACACTTTTCCTCTTCTGTCTGCCTCATCCTGAGAAATAATCTGAAAAAAATAGTACTTTTATAAAAGAGATGAACTCTTCCCTTTTGCAATATTAACAGCTTAAGGTCAAAACCCCCAGACATTCTGAAAGACAGGTGAAGGGTATTTTATTCTCTGGGATTGAAAGTATTCCCAAACATAAAGTACTGTTTTTAGCAAGCATTCTGCACTAACAAAACATCCACAGTTTGCTCTTAGCATAAATAAATCCTTTCAGAGCAGAAGAAAAGCAAGAATTGCTTCTCATCTCAAAATCAAAGCTGCATACCTGATTCAGGGTTCTATTGCTACAGAATATAATTTTGTGAAAGCACCTACTGACTTTTAGTACTGTACAAAATGATTTGGCACAAAATTCCAAGCATGTCTGAACCAAAATTATATCTAAGATAAAAATGACATTCCAGCCTCTCATTCTCATAAGAACCTATTTCAGATTTTTTGTGACATTTCAACCATGTAGCTCCTGGGTTTTGAGTCTCTGACACCAGTGTCTGTGCACTTAGTCAATCGCATCACTCTGTCTAAACATGATACCAGGTTATAGACAATCTGCTGGTCCTTGTCAACAGAAAACTTCACCAACTAAGCTCATACATAACGAGCATTCTCCATCCTTACCTCACCACAGTACTCAGAGATGAATTCATTCTTCTGTACAGGATCTTTGATAAAAATTCCCCAGCCCGCCACATCTGAAGGTGCCAATAGTAAGTGCTGTGGGGCAGAAAAAAAACAAAAAATTTAGACATGCCTGGCTTAGTTTAAGTTCAGGGGTTTTTTTCCATTTTGTTTTGTATCACTTTATGAAATGTATTTGTTGGGACTCCAGGAGAGTAGACAAACATAGATTCTTCTAGTTATCAAATGCACACTAAAATTACAGCTTGTGGATCAGAAGATGTATGTAAAAGAAAAACAACCTCAAGTATTTGAAAAGCATTAAAAATTTTAGTTTAACCTGGAAATGAGGGTGTTACATAAAAACACATTTACTAAAGACTTCAACCTAGAAAGGTCTGCAGACAAAAGCCTACTACTCACTCATTAGCTCAGTACTCGACTGAACTAGTTTGTGAGGTGATGTCCTAGAGGTGATGTTCCAGAGTAGAAATAAGCTTTGGTTGATTGATTGATTTACCAGAGCTGAATGAGCTTTCAAAGTATCTTCAGTATACCTGATACAAGTTTGTGCATTAGAATCAACAACTGGATAGAGAAACAGCCATTCTGTGTCTGAGACAAACTTCCTTATGCTGATCTAGGGAAGGACTGCTGAGGTATCACTTTAAAACAGCAGCCTATTTGCAAATTACAAGTGAAGCCTGAATGGGGGAAAGGAGATAATCCACTGCAGTGCTACACAGAAAACACTAATTGGTACATGACAGAATATAGACAGAACTTAACAGCAGCATATAAGCAAGCTAACAAGTGACAGCTACCACCCTTGTCGTTTTGTTTGGTTTAGGGGTTTTATTTTGTTTTCATGTTTGACAGCACAAAGGCAAAGAAATTCCATTCTCTGTCTTGAAAACATAAAACCACCTCAGAACCCAGGTAATAGGCATGTAGTTGTGTAACTATGGTCATACCTTTTTGGATCCTCTCTGAATGCTGCAGTTCTTGCAAGAAACATTTTTGCTGTCCCAGTGGTCAGCTGCTCCACACGTGAGACAGAGGTCAGGATCACACTCACGCACAGCCAGGTAACACGGACACTGCTTGGTGTTGCATTGTGCTTTACAACGACATCCAGGAAACCGGTTTTGGCCTACAGAGGAATAGATGGAAAAGAGCAGGTATGAAAAAAGTACAATGTAAAATTAAGACCGTGCAGATTATAGCATATCAGAATATTAATATATTAATAATAACACAGCTACTGATATCTGTATAGAATATTCAGAAGTACTGTAAATTCTTTCCTTTCCTGATTTTAGTCTTCCTCAATTTTAAGTCTGAAGACTTTCTGACTTCATGCAATGGCTAATTATGAGGGCCAAATTACGCTGAACACGTGCTCACACTATTTGATACAATTTCCTGCTACTGCAACACTGTCTGCAGTACGGACTGACTGCAGTACCGAGCTAGAGGGTGGGACAGGGAAAGAAGTTGATAGATTACTTTAAAATGTTTTACTTACATTCTGAGCTGCACTGACAAAACTTCTCACAGAAGTTTTGAGCAATTACACATGGGCATGAGCTATCACAAGGCTGACGTGGGTGATCACATGGCTGATAGTTGTAAACATGATTCGATGACCCATCTGAATAAAAATAGCAACATTTTGTAAAGCTGTAAGTTGCAAACAAACAATACACAATTTCCCTCACTCTCCAAGGTAGAAATTCCCTTTTAGTCATTTAACTAAGAAAGTCCCAACCATGAATAAAATACCCAAACCTACAAATGAGTGGGGTTAAAAACCTGAGACACCTAACCAGAACTGTAACATCAGTGAGATGTTCTACACCATTAGCTGCTGCTTTCTTGGGCACTTTATTCTGCCCATTACTCAGCTGCTTTGAGTATTTCAAGCTGAAAGCTCTTTACTGTGGAAAACTGAAAAACGAAACTACAATGGTATAATTTCCTGTGAGAATATGTTCTATAACAGGACCGATATTATTCGGCAAAAGAAATTTGATCAAATACTCAAAAGTAGTTTTTAATATGGAACAACAGTCAACTTTCAAGCAGGTTAACACTGGCAACATAATACCTGGTTATTATACCACTGTGCTTTCCCAAGTCAATTTTCCAGTACAGACAATGCTTAAGTCTTCTAGAGGAGAAAGGAAATATCAGGGACGAGTCTAGAGCTTTACCTACAGAGCAGCTAGGAAAATTTGGCGGTATATAAATTATATTTGCTGTTAATACTACTGAGCTGGTGTTGGGTTTGCATGAATTTGTAAAAGTGCTCAAGTTAGCAATCAGCAACAAAAAAGGAGACAAACTGATCAATTATTTATGTTGCTAGAAGTCCCAACTATTCTCAACAGATTTTCAGAGAACTATTTCTAAAATAAACTGGTTTTTTTTTTACAAAAACCCACAAAAGCAGTTTTTATCGCAGCTCCAATTGCTAATACCATTTTTACCTGTACTTCGATGAGGCCATACTGAAAAGATTGTAAACTCAGCCTCCTTCCCTTTTAATTGAATTATACAGAACTCTTCCAGTTATGTAAACCAGAGTGAGTACCTTTTGTCCTACAATATCTGTAATGAGAGCTTACTTTTTTTTTTCTTATTATTCCTCTATAATCTCTAGCTCCCCACGGAATGTATATAATGGCCTAACATTAAAAATAGAAAAAAAAAAAGCCACAAACACAAAACCCCCCAAAAGACAAAACCAAAAAAGCGATAGTAGAATCTTAAAAGTTCAGGACATAAATTGAATGGAAAGATGCTAACCCTTTTTCAGCTGTATCTTTCTGCAATGAGCAGCCCACAACCTGCAAAAACACAAAACAAACAAGAAGGTTGACAGGAACTCCTCCTGCAGTGGGCTGGAAAAGGGAGCTGCATCTTGGACCCACACTTAAGTTAAGATGGGAAAGCTTCTGGTAACATGAACATCTGCCAACTGCACACAAGTCAGAGGTGACTGCAGCAGAAACACCCTGTCCCAGTCTCTTGGGGTTGACAGGACCAAAGCTCTGCAGGCTGCTTCCCCCCTCCCCACACCATTCCTCTAGTCCCAGAATTGTACAGACGAGCAGTCCCCACCCAGCCCAGGCTAGAGAAATGCTTAAATTCAGATGGCCTTGAAGGAAAACCTGCCAAGAGCAGGCTGCTGGAGCTGCTTCTAGCAGGCAGAAGCAGCAGCAGAAGGAAGGACTCGGAATTGCAGATCTGGAGGGTCATATCTAAATAGGGGAGTGAAAGTCTGACAGCTGTTTGATTCACAGGACTAGGCCCCAGCACAGCACTGGTTGTTGTCTACAGATCACAGCCAAGTCCTATCCTTCCCCTGATGAGCTCCAAGTATGCGGACAACAGATGATGATGTCTGTCTGGCACAGCCAGAGTGATGTGGCCTCAATATTTTATTTCTGGCCGGACAGACTTTTCCCCAGTTGTTCTGACTGGTGGTACTGCACTAAGCTTTTCCCCTTCTGCTTCAAACTCTATACACCTTTCTCTTATGTCCTTACAGTTTTCCTTCAGTGTCCCCTTTCTCAGTCAGCTTAGCTAAGCACACCTTTGCCAGAAGTGGTGCTTTTCTTGTGTAATGGGTTTTATTGTTTGGATTTGTTGTTTTGTTGGGTTAGGGTTGCGGGTTTTCTTTAAGAATAACATACTTTTGGTTATCATAACATGACTCACTACACTTTAACATTCTTGCAAGTTACAATTACCCCTTTATTTTATATCCATTTCAGATTGCAAGCTCTTTGGTAGGGAATGTCAACTATTCCATAAACAGCATGTCAGACACAATCAAGCATAAACACCTGTCTGGACCTTAGGTACCTAAAAGGAAAACCAGACTTTTGATTTCAATAGCCTTAAAATTAAAGGAGAAATCAATTGGTTTACTTTTTTCTTCACTTCTAGGCATTTTAGTTAGCACTTGTATTTCAGTGAACACACATAATAAAAAAATTAGATTAAGGATTTTCAAAGTTTATGCATCTTGGAGTTTCTTAGTATGACATATAGCAACATCAAGACAAAATGGGAGAAGCCTCATTCCCTGGCCAAATGATACACTGCCAGCTGCATCAAGCTACCTCACTTTCTCTGCAGATTTACTGAGCAGCCCAGGACACTCATGAACAAAGGTACTCAAAAATCCCCAGCACAGAACACCTAGAAAGCTATTCTGCCTTTCAGTGAATGCAACATTCAAAAGTTTGCACTCTGAAAGAAATATCTCCTGCTGTAACTACTTAAATAGGACTTTTTTAGCTGTTCCTTCTTTCATAAAAGCATATCAGTTTCTACTTCAACCAAATGGTGTGCTGCACCCCCCCACAGCTTCAGATAAATAAGATCCTCTACAAAATAGCCCTCTCAAAGCTTTACTGTTAGATTTAACTCGACAACAAACTTTCTTACAGGTATTTGAAAGAGCCCATACATGTTAGAACACACAGAGGCAGACTTGCCTGAGTAACTGAGGTTGAGGGGAAGGAAAAAAACCCCAGGACTATCAGCATTACAGAGCACTGTAATAAATAGATGATATTCCTATTAAGAGTGATTCACCCTAGAAAAAAGGCTACCAACATATATTACAAGACATTGAATCTTTGTAAGAAGATAGCTGCCATATAATTGAAAGAAGGAGTGCAATTTTAACTTAAATTACTCTAATGCACATCAAACTACTTTCTCTTTTGTCTGTCTGGTATCTGAAAAACGTAACATACCATATTTTTGAAAAAGTCTTTCAGAGAAACTTGTCTGTCACCCCAAGATAATAAGGACCTACTAGCACACCAAGCTGTTCTAGATGGGTGGCTAGACTTCTTAAAATACCATTTCATTAGCAATTAGTAGGGTTTTTCTTTTCCTAGGGTAAAATCCTAATATTTTTCCTATTATTTATCCTAATATTTTAAATGTAAAATGCCACCATCAACAAAGCACTGATGCTAACAACTCAAACCAGAAAGAAAACTACAGATGGCAGTCACGATGGGAAAGGCACCCGCTGAGCCACTCTTGTGCAGGAGACTGGGGTCATGGGAGGAGGAGGGCCCAGCGAGAAAGGAGCTGGAGACACACAGTGTCAGCATGAATTGTGGGGAATGACAGAAGACAACATGAAGGTGCCAACACTGACCAGCTCGACAGGAGCTTTGCTTAGCACAAGCAAATAGTACATTCATTGGTTTGTAACTTTCCAAAACTGCCAGGAAGCATTGCAAGTTCCCCTGGTTAGTGCACAGAGCTGGAGCCTGGTACCATACTAAATGTGGAGTAACTTTTCTATCTGCCCTATAATCTGCCATCTCAAACAGAAACAAAAGGCAAGATCTGGCCCCATGCACCAGGAAGCAAAGGCAAGGAAAAGGCAAAGTTGAGAAAGCACTCACAACTTGAAGCTTCATTTAAAAAAAGCAAACTGGAAACTCAAGTGGCAGGTTCCCAAGTAAACCGGTGGATTTGCACATCTGGTTGCTGACATCTGCAGGATAGCCAGCTTAGAAAACAAGTGTTTCCAGAAGCATCATGACAGAAGCTGTCAAAAATACTGTTCTTCTCTCCTAACAACCTACTAGACTTTGCCAGTGGTTTTAGGAGGCAGCAGTATCAGCTAATCAGGCAGTAAAAATGCATTCTTTGGAAGAAGCTACACTAGCATTTCTTGCTCTGCACAGGGATACTCTGCTATCAGAAAGAGCACTGAAAATTCAAAATACATGCCAATTATGTCAAATATGTAGTTGAGTCTTTACAGTGTTTGATTTTCTGGCATCACTCAGACTTCAGTCTCCTAAATCATCTTATCCACAGTCTCCCCGCCACTCCAAGATTCAGCCTTCCAACCAGGTGGTACATAAGAATCTGTGCCAATGCCTCAGCTGCACCTTCTACCTGGTAACAGTGAGACTTTAAATCCATACAAAAAGGCATCCTGAACTCTTGGCAGAACTACATCAGCTATTCAAACACATGCAGTGAACAGCAGTCCAGCAGAAAGCAGGGACAGGAGGAAGAAAATGAGAAAGTGGGGAAAAAAAGAAAATACTTTCAAATAAAATTTACTAAGTGGCATCTGAATATGGGATGAGAGAGAAGAGGAAAACCAAAATAATCAAAAAACAGCTGAACATGGCCTTACAATCAGTAACAAATCTTTACCAAAATAGAGGAAGCAGTGTTGATTAGTTAAAGCAAACACAATTCAGCTCCCAGCAATGGAAGAAAAACATACACATAGAAGAATGAACAGTACTGAAGTACTCTCCCTCCAGCACACATACATGCTTTTTGGAATTGTCTTGGTTCAGATTTTTTTATTGGCTTCTATGCAGAGTTTTCCTAAACTGCCAGGTTAATTTCTGATACATAGGAGAGGCTCTGACACTTCCTATTTCTCCAAAAAGCAACTACATTAAAAGCCACCTTCTCTTATTAATCAGCCTTATTATTGTCATCTAACAAAAATGACACAGGCAAGTAGGAGAGAATATATTTGACTATCCAAGAGGGGTGTAGTCTTGCCAGCTAGTTGCTCAGCATGCCTATACGGGCACCATGATGACATGGGAAAAAGGCAAGTCTTGTAAGAAAATCTGCTATCAATCAGTTACAAGAGGCCACTAAAGGCAGCCTTCTGCTGCTGCTGTTCTCTTTGGTCGATACTGCTTTTGCTCAAAGGCTATCTGCCATGTGCACACGTGGAAAACCTGCAGATCAGTAAGACCCTTTCAATGGAAAAGTGCAAAAGTAAAAGAAGGGTCTTCCCAGCTCTAGGACTGGATTTACTCTAAGAGTGAGTAAACTCAACTAAAAGAAAGGTGAAAAACAGAGAAAGACTTCCAGATGTTTGTCCCAATTGCTGGTTGTGTGACATCTTTAGAGTGCTCATATTACAGCAGTATGTAGGTAGGCGAAACTATTTTCCTTTTTTTGAAAGATGACTGCACATAGGAGAACAGAGACAGCTTGATTGCCACATATTCTGGCAAATAAAAAAATGTATTTCCTTCCTTCAAGGAGAGTTAGAAGAATTAAATGGCATTTCAAAACTAAATTGCTACCATAAAAGTTTTTATATTGCCAACTAATAAAACCAAAATAACATCAAGAAACCCCATGCAATGGTGTGCGCGTTTATTTACTTGGGAAAAAAAAACTAAACTAAAAAAAGTCTCAAAACTGCTCCAAAACAATGTCATCCTGGTAACCATAAAATCCATTTCAGCTTCAAAATACATTTGAGCCTTTTAGTTGCTCTTTTTAAATAGAGGTAGTGGCACCATTTTTATAGCAACTTGTATGAATCTGACAGCAAGCTAATTCCCAGCTGCATATTCGAAGCTTGCACCATGGCTAATAACCTAAATTTAAACCGCCAAGCCCACCAAATGCCCAAACACTTGAAAACTGTGCCAAGAGCATTAAAATCAATAGCTTTTGCTGAGAGCAGAATCTCTTCCAGATGCTCACTGAATCTTTTCCTAGCTCACATCGCCAGCCTCTATGCTACAAAGCAGAAACATTCTATTCCACGTCAACAGTATCTCTGAGCCAGTATCAGGAATTTCACTAAGCCTGGAAATAATAAATATGCTTACACAAGCTAAGACAGAAGCAAGAAAAATTGATGGGAGAAGAACTGGAATAACAAACTTCAGGGAATATAGGGAACGTTAAAGGGAGACATAGGAAACTATATGGAAAAAAGTGTACTTATTGCTTGCTGAAAGAAATGCTCTTGCTTATTTTCAGTCAGCTTTTTATCTCCTGTGTTCTTAGCCCTGGCAATAAAAAAAGAAAATCCGTGCAGAGTTGCATATTCTGAACCTCAGTATTCTCAAAGAAAAATGCATTTTACTGACAGACAGTAGCCACCAAGTTTAAAATTTCAACAGAAATGGTTTCAGATGGTCTTCGTGGCCCAAGCAAAATGCTTGATTTTGTTCTTCATTGAAGCTTCATTCCAGATAATAGCTAGTTAGCCTGGTTCTTGCTAGTTGCTAATGAAACTAGGATGCTACAAAAGAATAGTGTCTCCTAAAGAAAAAAAAAGGCAATCCTACTAGTTTGCTACAATATTTTTCTTACTAACCATCTGAATTTTAATGAAATACACTTTACCATAAAAAATATGAGTTTTAATTTACAAAATTAAATGTATAACCATTACTGAATCCCATTGTAATGCTTCTAAATTTTAATGTTTGTTGCTGCAAACAAAATTATACCACACTATCTTGAATGTTGCAACAAGCTGTGTAGGGTATTTCTAATCTGAGTTTTGACTACTTGCAGCAATACACCTACAAGAATCTGCTAAGAAGACTCTGGTTGTTAAAGAGCTTAAAAAGAAGGGAGAGAGAAAGAGAAGTGGAAGGTTATATTTGCCAAGGTGGTAAGACTTTTGTCTGAAACCAAAACACCATTTTGTTTTACTGCTGCAAATTTTGGTTTTGGAAGCAAAAGAAATGTCGCACGACTTTTCCTCCAAAACACTTTCTGTTCTGATCCCCTGTGCTTCCAATTTATTGTTATGCTAAGGTTATTTAGTAACAGATTTACCTGTGTTTCCTTTTCTTCTTTCTGGGAGGAGTATCAACATCTTCAGCAGGGACTGGTGCAATAATACTAGATTCCTTTACTCTAAACTCATACACCTAACAAGAGATACCATAATACATCCACGATAAATCTCTCACTAGTAGAAAGTTGCTCATTTTCTAAGTTAGTATGATTTCCTTCAACCAACAACTTACAGATTATATCCAGTCATAGTCTTTTTTCAATACATTTAAAGCTGATTATTTTTGTCATTTAATAACTGATAGGCTAATTTAAACCTCCTCTAAATTTTATTTAAAAACATTTTTAAAACTAACTTTTATGTATTTGTGGTATGAATTCAGGATCATAGCATTCTTGGGAAAACCAAGAAAATTAATTAATTTTCTCTTCTAGTAATCAATACTGGTATTTCTATACTTCAGTTTTAAAAGTAAAAAGCTATCACCCCTAGCAAGTAGCTTCCTTTCTTACCTGTCTGCACGTTTTGGTCCCAATCAGTCTGGCAATTGCACAGAAGTTGTCATAGTAGGTGCCAATAAGAACTCTAAACATTGAGGCTTCTGCACCACTCCATTCCACATTCTCCGGAGGCTCAATATTTGGCTTCATCTTTATTGGTGTTTGACACCTAGAATTTGCTTCTGTAATAAATAATTGAGAGTAAGGTAATTTCAAAAATTTTACACAGCCCTTAAAAATGTCAAATTATTAATTGCAGTTAAAAATATCCCAGAGGTGGTTGTTGTTGTTGTTTCCTAAGCACCACAAAAACCCAATGCTTTTCACATATCTCTTGCAGAAGCTAACAGTAGCTATTCAATTACATGATCTATACGAAAATTGAGACAATTTGGGCATTTCCTTCCAGGATTTTGATTCATTAAACTCATATTATTACTCTGTCTTTTCATTCAGTCCCATACATTCTAAATACATGTTTTCTAGGATTGTGGGGCTCAACTTGTTTTGGTGGGGTTTGTTGTTGTTGTTGTTAGTTTTTTTTTGTTTGGTTTGGTTCTGTTTTATCTTCTCAAGCACTGCAGCTCACTGAATAAAGAAGGCATTGACCAGCCTCACCAGAGGAACTCGATGTTTCATCTTTCTTTTCTTCTTCTTCTTTATCATTGTTTTCTCCTCCAGTTTCCGTTCCAGCTTCTCGATCGCTATCCGTGTCTTTTGATTCCAAGACATTTATTGTTGGTGTGCTGGGTCTGCTGGTGTTGTTTGGAAGTCTCCCCCTCCGGCGGCCACCCGGGCGCTTTGGTGGTGTCTTTATACGCTCAGCGGTCAAGGCAGCTGCAAACTCCTTTGCACCTTCCTAAACACAAAACATCGCAGTTTTTAGTAAAATAATTAAAAAGTGTTTTCACCTGTGATCAGGGCTTGGGGAAGGGCACATTCTACTTGTATACTGCATAACTCTGCATTATTCTACAAAATAATCATGTACACAGACATTCCAGTTAAATGTACTCTAACCATGAACATAAAATACCTTTGATGCTACCATGAAAAAAAATCTACATTTACAAAGTACTCATGTCAGTATTCCAGTTCTCCTTTTATTTTGGCTGCCAAGTGAAAAATAATTCAGTAGTAAATTTCTATTTCCCCAGATGACAGAAAAAATGAGAATTTCCTACAGAGAATACCTGTCAAAACACAGGAACTCTTCTGGCACATGGCACTTCAACAATATGTGTTCTGCATTTTTTAAAATGCAAGTACTGGTAATTTGTTTTCTAGTGGAAAGGGGTATGACAATGTGTAGCAAGTTTTTAGATTGGAAAATTGCATAGTTTTTCATACTAAAAAATTTAGGGGAATTATGAGAGAGATTTGAAATTATATTACATCTCACCTTATTAATTTCCATTCTTTTGCTTCTTAAGACTTTAAGTCCTGGATGGAATCTGCCTTAGGCAAACTAAAAAACCTTTATAATTTTTAGTTGTGATATAATTTACAAGAGAGTTTACTCTGCAGTTCCTTGACTAGACTGGACGCAACAGCAGCAACACCATCATTAAGAGGTAATAATATTTCTTCCCTATAATATCTCGGGCTACATCTAACAGATCTAAAATATATTCCTATTTAAGAGGATTGGAATTTAAATCTTTTCTTTCACACCCACTGAAGAAAACCTACTTGACTGCAAGTGGCCCACAAGTATATGCACTATCCTAGATCCAGTGTGTCCTTATATAAAGTGTATCCTGCTATACTGCAGCTAGCACTAGCACTCAGTGAATTGTAACTTATAAAATTATCTTACCAAATGTTGATAACAGTGCGGTCCACAAGGCTTATTATCTAATGCTGTTTCTGTATTCTTTCGTTTATAAGTATTAGGAGTTGCATGGAATGCTGTTGAATCAAAACATCACATTTTTAAGTTTTCATATAAAAATATATTAAATATCTAACCTTAAACAGTATCCAAAACACAAGGTTTACCAAGACTTTACTAAAACCAGAATAAAAATATTAAGAAATGGAAAAAAGCCCCACAAAATAAACTCCATGTAGTGACATCTGACTTACCACTTAAATACACAGAGACGCACATAGGTTAAGTTTCACATATCACGGAATGGTTTGGAAGGGACTTTAAAGATCATCTCGATCCAAACCTATTGCCATAGACAGGGATACCTTCCACTAGTGGACCAGGTTGCTCCAAACCCCATCCAACCTGGCCTTGAATACTTCCAGGGATGGGGCACCCACAGCTTTTCTGGGCAATCTGTTCCAGTGTCTCACCATCCTCACAGTCAAGAATGTCTTCCTTACACCAAATGTAAATCTATTCTCTTTCAGTTTAAAGCCATTACACCCATTTACATCAGCAATCATCACATTTATTTCATGTATGAAGGAAGATTTGCTATATCTCCCTTCCTAACAAAAGAACAGACTTTAATTTATCGTCATGTTAAACAAGAATTATTCAGGGCTTCTCCTATTAATGCATGATCATTCCTTCAATCTGTTAGATTCAGTTGTTCAATTTCTATCTTATCAAAAAATCCAAGCCCATACATGCTTTGGAAAGGTAATGGATCCAACTTTACATTTTCATCAAAGAGAAGGAGACACATAAGCATTTTTCCTCTATTAGTTTATCAGCACTCCAACTAAGCTGATAGGATGTAAGAGTTCAGTTCCTGTTCCTGTATCCCAGGAACTGAACTCTTTCCCAGGGTAAAAATAAGTTAGCATTGCACAGTCACTATGGATCAGAACAACCACAGTTAAGTCTGCAACTTGCAGAGAAGTTCTGCTCCTGTATCTGATGGACTCTGCATAGCTCTATATAAGCTGCGGAGCAGTAACTCGGAAAAAAGCAGAACTGGGTATGTTACACATGCAACAAGAGCATCTTTACAACAGGATAGCAGAATCTTCTACCCATTTCTCTTTGCCAGAGCCTGTTGTCCTACCATGCAATCCCTGCCAGCAGGATGTTTTCAGAGACAGTGACTTACATGGTTTTGCTGGAAGTCTTGGGAACTTCTCCGTAACACTTACTTAACTGAAGCCTGGAAAATCTGCCACTAGACTCTCACCAAAACTCATATACTCATGCTCCCAAATTATATTAGAAGCTTTTTGAAATACTATCCTTAGTTTTCTGCAATATTCTTTTTTAAAAAAAAATTCACCTGTGTGCAAGAAAAAATTATTCTGGTTTTCTTGATATATATATATATACACAAATAGACGCATATCAATAAATACTTTGTCCCTCTGAACGTGTTAACAGTGGCATACAGAACTGCAAGGAACAAAAATGGGGAATGGACTGAAGTTCAAAAGTTAAAAAAAAAAGAGTACTCAGTGCTAGCTGTCTGTTTGTTAATGCTCCATGAAGGCCTAGAAAAGACACTCATCTGAAAATGTGGCTTTTCCAGGCTCTGTAAAAGCATTTATTCTACAGTTTTACCACAGCTGCAGTTAGGCAACTGTAACTTAGAGTGAAGTTCTTAAACATTCAGTTAATTATAAGTGCTAATGTTCAAACTGAAAGGTGAAATCCCTCCCCTCTTACCCATATTAATCTAAAAGGGCAGTTCCATACCAACACGACAGACATCCTTCTCCCTCATTAACCACCACCACAGACTTCCCTACTCATCTTATTTCTAGATCATGCACAGGGCTTCTCTCTATATATCCACTATGCTTTCAAGACTGAGCTTTTTTAATGCAGTTCCTTCCCTTTTAAAGAATGTGGGCAGAGCCCAAATATGTCTTCACAGACAAAGTTTTTAAAAGTAAATTTCATTTCAGTGGTCTGGTTTGCAGCGTAGCTCTGCAAGCATCACTGAGGAGGGTGACCAGTGGTGGTGAGCACTTCTTAAGAAAGCTTCTCTGATGAAACCACTCTGTCTTGGAACGATCCTTTCATGCTCCCCTCCCATAAAGGAGGGCAGGCTAAAAATCAAATCATAAATTCTATAGTGTTGTGCCTGTATTAATGACAATAGCACATGGGAACCCCAGGGAAGCAACGTATTCTTACAAGGCTTTCTTAAAATGGTATAAACAATATAAAAGTATCACTAATTAAATATTGCATCCCTTTATTAAAAAAAAATCATGTTTTATAAATCTGGAAACACAAAAAAGCTTTAATTTTCTACATATAGGCATGTAGCTCTGTGAAAATTATTCACAAGCAAGTATAGGAATTTAATTTATGCATATTGTTGCTATTAGCACTTTTTTCCCCCAGGTTTCAGTTAAAAGCTTTTATGGAGTATGTCAGTTCTCATATGTTTCAAGTAACCTTGAAGTGTTCATACATTCTCTAGGTAAAATACGCTAAATAACAAAGAAACCTAGCAATTTAATGCCAAGTTATCCCACCTTTTTCCAGCTTTTAAGGAACAATGAAATGATGGGAGCCCCCCACCCAAAATAGAGGGGAACCCCCCCATTTTGTAGCACTGTATCTTCAAATTTGCACAGTATACAATTTCATTCAGGGTTTTTTTCCACATAACTGTTTTACTTTCTCTTCATAGCACAAGAAAAATAATCTTACATCAATACAAAAGAATAATAAAACATTTGCAAGCCATGATCCATATCAGAGTGCTGCAGTGTGCAGAAATCAAAACTATTCTTTTCACGTGTTACTTGCAGATGCAAACACTTCTCTCACAAGTTCATTGTGCGCGGTCATAGAATGAAAATTTTTTCAAAAAATTGTTTTCCTTTGGACAATGAAGACCTGCTTAGTTTGCAATGTAGTGAAATAAATCAACCTTTGATATTTTTAAACCAGAGAGACTTCAAAAGTAGGCTCTGATACTTCATATTAGAATTATATCTTGTATTCAATTATTTAAAAAACACCCAACATAGAATGGTAAAGACAACTATAGTCAAAATCTACCACCACTGTTGCGAGGGATTTTTTTGGGGAGGAGCCTTGTTACAAAAAAAGGACCCAGAACAAGTATAAAACTATTTGTATAGCTGTATTATTAATTTTTCAAATATCAGGAATAATGTTTCTTAAAAAAATCACAAAAGACTTTTTAGGGTTTCCTAAATACCTAGAGTCCGTATTTCTTTAATAATTTCCTCAAGAAAATAATTCTAAAACTGCTTCACTGAGCATATTTTTTGTCTTTGAGATTTATTATCTGTCTCATCCCCAAGGGGCTCAACTCTCATATTTTTCATAATGTGAAAGTACACAGGCAACAGTTTAGCCTGAAATGTACATTTGCTTCACAGTCAAGCTATTTGGGAAATTCCCCCTACCTGATACTTTTCCTTCTTCTAAATTCTTTGTTAGTCCAGACATTTAGGCATAATTCCTTGCTGTCAGCAAATGAAGTCGGTACACAAGTTTTTTCAGTAATGTCATCACCTGCACATAAAGGGATTGCCAGGTCGTCAAGGGGACTTGACATGTTAAAAATCTAATGATAACTTTTCCTATATTTAACTCAAATGTTCTAGAACAAAGATTGGAAACTCCATAAAATAAGGCTAATCTTAACAAAAATGGAATCTAAGAGGGGGGAATTACAAAAAGCAAAACCAGACCCAATAGAATTCCTCTATTATTTTTTTTTTAATTCTCTATGCCTTCTCCAGAGATTTGCACCTTTCAGAGTACAAATCTGATCACTATGGCCCACCACATTACCAAAGTAATTCATCAAAAATGTCATCTGCAGAAGCCAGGACATCATCCAGCAGCACTTGGGAAGTGCATGAAGCAGAACAGAGGTAACTGTAGAAAGGTTATCAACTTTTTTTAAAAGTTAAATTGTTAAATTGTTGCAGAGACGTTGAAAATTGCTAGTGCAGCCTTCCAATAACCAGAGAGGTCTTTTTTTTTTTGATGAGTTACTTATTCCCAGCAATGAGCCTGGTGAGTTTTTACAAACACTCTTAAAATTTCACAGGAAGCAAAGAGGTCATATAACTGACTCTCAGTTTCTAAGGGATAAATTCCTAGCTCTAGACGGACACGCAGACAGACAGACACAGACAGAAAACAATCCTCTTTCTTTGGTGTTGCTATGGACAAAAGCAAAAGGAAGCGATGCATCCAAAGCAGTGAGCAGTCATTGTTGAGGTGGAATCTGGGTATGTTTTCAGGGACTGAAAGCATGACTGAAAGCATGACATCAGTTTACCACATTCAGTGTCCAGTGCGGCAGCTACATAGTGAATGTGTAAATCAAGCTTCAAGAGGCCTCTTTGTAATGATCAAGTATCAAATACATCATTACCAGTGATGATGCATGTGCTGCATAAGCTGTCATGAGGAGCATTATCATAACCAGTAATTTCACACTCCATCCTGACACAAAGGTACCTCTTGAGTGCCTTCACAGTGAAAGTGCTATTCATCCCTCTTTCTGCTATGGCCCTGAAATCCTGAAGGGATGATTTAAAGTTTGGGCATTTTTAAGTACGAGGCACAGTTTAAATGAAGCCTTGGACATACACCAGGTTGGAAAGAACACTGACTTGTTTAAGGGATGTATCAAAATTCACCAGCAACAAGAACTTAGGCAATCTTTCAGTAAAAACACTTTGTCTTCCATCTCAAGGTTATGAACACAGAGAAAGGAGGCACAGCACTTTTGGCTTAAAGGATGCTGCTAGTGTGAGAATTGAGGTCCTGCAGCCAGTCAGTGTTTCAGCCAAAGACTCTGGACTTTCCCATTGGCTGAACCAGGCACTCAAAAACACATCAAAATGTACAACAGTATGAACCTATCCTTCACAGCACTCAGAGAACAGAAGTCTCACAGAGCTCATGCCTCAGAACTGTGAACCAGTAATACCAGGCTCCCCAGAGTAGCAAGCACCAACACATGGTCAGTGGAACTTTTCAGTTCTACTTCTGTCAATCTGCAAAATGACTGTGAAAGGCAAATCTACACAGACTAATGAAATATATGCATATTTTAGAGGAACCCACATCTTCACTGGAAAACTCCTACAAGTTTATAAAATCAGTGAGAAAAATGACTTAAGACGACTGCTGCAGAAATACCTAAAGTCTTCAAAGGTGCCACTAGAAACAGTTGGTTCTCACTATGTCCAGACAGTGCTTTTTCATTGACTTAAAAAGTCAAAATCCTTTTAAAATGGCATTTAGTCTCTCTGCTAAACTATTGAGAGTGTCAAGAACTCATATAACCCCTGCCAGATAAACGGATTGCCAAGAGGCAGCATACAGCTTCACTTCCCTGGCCTACAGACTAAGGCTGCACACAGCACTTCTTGGAATGAGTCATCCAGGCAACTAAGATACCACAAAACCTACAGCTTCACAGAACACATCATGTTGAAACTGGCTGGACAAGACAGAAGCTATACACCTCCAGAAACTTATTGTTCTTTAACCTCATTCAGAAATAAGTGCTTCCTTTTATTTTTTTCTTCGTATTTTCAAGCAAGGGCTGTCAACAGAATATAAGGAGGAAGTGAAACAACAGACCTAGCTCCAAAAGGCACAAGTACTGTTGGAACTAGGAACATGAAAAGCTCCCCTCCTCCCCACCACCTGAGAACAACTCCAATTCCTCCTCAAACTGAAAGGCAACTAAGGGATACTAAAAAGCAGCAGCACTGTGCAAAGCCTTCAGTGTGAAGTACAAACAACAGGCAGATTGCATGTGTGCTGGATGAGGAGCTGCTGACAAAGCACAAAGATTTCCAAATGAACATGCATGCGCACTCACAGTGGAACATGCAAATGAACAGTTAAGTCAAAAGAGAAAATTAATTTGAGGGCATCATAGTATTCCACTCCAAGTCAAAACCACTTCATAATTGACTGTTAGTTTCCCCTTTACATTTGACTCTGTTCTCTGAGCAAGAACTGTCTCTAGTAGCACTTCAGAACCTCTCTTACTCTTCACACTTTGCAAGCAAAAACTAACATCACTGCTAAGCTCTTGTCAAATCCTTCTCCCAAAAGAATGGGGCGACATGAAAGCAATTCAGTGGAAAGGATATTACAATTTTTAAACTCAACTCCCTGAAATAATTCTTCAAATAACCAAGTTATTAACTTGAGAGGATAAAAGATAAAACTGTTCATGAGCATTTATTCTCCCTGTTGCAAAATGAAACAAGTTTGATGAATAACTAAGAATTTTTATGGAAAAATACATTCCATTCTCCATGCATAAACTGAGAAAGTGTAACATAGAACCAATAGTAGAAAATAACATAGTTTTCTTACAGACTATATAAAGAGAAGTGATGTTACAGGTTGGTCCAAGTCAGGAATATACAAAGTCCTAAATGCAAAAAGGATAACAAACTACCCCACAGAGGTGCATTTGGTTTTTTTGAGGTACAGCTTTCACTGCAAAATAATGTCAACATGGACAAGCTGTTTTCATAAGCTTCAGAAATACTGATGCTTTTATTTTTTCTTCTCTTTCCTTCCTACTGCATTGTATCCCGACTTGCAAAACCAAAATATATACAAGCACACTATAATCATACTTACGATGTAAGAAGCAATCATATTTAAAACAGCGTCTACAGAAGAGCGTGTGGAAAGAGTGCAGGCTTTGCTCCCTCTGAACGGATTTCGCATTTGGTCCATCTATGTTCGGTGTGCATTCAGGAGGAAGAGCTCCGGGAAGCTGCTGCTCAGTGAGTTCTTTATATCTTTAAAAGAAAGTAATGGATGTTATTTATTAAGTATATATTTTTTTAAAAACGTATTTTTTATTCCAGTATCACTCTGTAATTTCAATGACAAATTTAAAAAAAAAAAAACAAAAAAACTAAAAAAAACCTAAGAAATATAAGCCAGCTGAAAAGGTCAATCTCTTAGTGACATGACAAGTTTTTAATTTCATACTCATTAATACAAATATAAAATTGACTAGGAAAGAATGCATTTGTTTTCCAGACCATCATCTCTTCAAATATATTACTCACTAACTCCAAAAAGGAGATTTATTTCTTTTTTAACAAAAGCTTTTGCTTTAACACCTCAAAAAATGACATAGATTATTAAAGACACAAAAGTATACACTTTTAAACAGTTTAAAAGGAAGGCTAATAAACGCTTCTGTATTGTTTGACTCTGTGGGAATGGCCAATTCCCTTCAAGTTTCACTTGCAGCAGTTACACGACTGCCACAGAACTAGCTGCAAGGGGGACCATTTCTAATCAACAAATATTTAATGAAGTCGAGGAATCTTTGTTTCACAGAGCAACACAGCAATATACCCTAAGAAATATTGTCTTACTTCTCTTTCAGTTCTTCTGCTGTACCCTTGTCCGGAAACATGGAGGAAATGGCTTCAAATATCTTGTCAGAAGGAAATCTCCGAGGTGGGCGGCTTTCTTTCTCTGTCAAGGAAGCAAAACATTTGGAGAACAAGAATATTATATTCCTGTTCCTTTGCTACCTCAATAAGGTGCTCAGAGAAATGGGGACTTCACCAAAATTCTAACATTTAGAAATATCACAGACAACTTAAACTGGGTTAAGTGATCTTTCCTGCCGAGAGAACTCTACTAGTAAAAATGGAGAAACGATTATTTCACCACCAGATGGAGATGGCAATTCAGAACTCTGCCTACTTTAGAATAATATTTCATTTTTTGAGGAGTACCAAAACATTTATTAAACAGCTACCTGACTCATATTTGTTACATTTGACTGCCTCAGTTTGCAGATAAACAAAAACTGGAACAAGTATCTTGTAGTATTCTCTGTACAAAATGAACTCTCTTGAACTAAGTGACAAAGGCAATTATGAAAATCATGCTACTTTAGACCTGAAAACTGTATTGTATAAAGAAGGGTTTGAACAAGTTTATTTAGTGGTTAAATAAAAAGTTTTGGTTTTAATTTTTTATGCCTGCAGACAAACATACCCATCCTGTTACCTTCCCGATCTTTTTGCTTGTCATCTCTTTCCTCAGGATTGTCATCTCCATCATCATCATCTTCATCATCACTATATTGACCAAGGGCATTGACCAGCTCAACAAATATTTCATCATTGATAAATCCACACTCTGAAATTCAGCAAAATTGTGAGTGAACACAAAAGTACAAGGTGTATATTAAGTATTTTTAATCCCCCTTACACTTCAATTAAATTATGGTAAATGCTGCTGTTCATAAAAAAGAATTTTGTGTTTTTCCCCTCTTAGTTTCAGTATATGAACAAGAGATGAGTTAAAAATACTCATTATTCATTTCTTAGACTGACAACTGGGAAGGCAAGAAGGAAACTTGTGGGCATTTTTCTTTTCCCGACTTCCTGTGCTTCATATCAGTACACATACATAAATCTCTCCTCCTTGGAAGATAAAAAAAAACATTACTAGCTAGACTATTTAAGAGATTTTATGCCAGAATCCCAGTTCCAACACGGTAAGTTAAGCCAGTCTGGAAATGCATGTTAACAGTCTATAAAGTAATTCTTAATCAGCTGGGGAATCTCATGAGAGAGTTTGGTTGGTAGTCCCTTAGCATCCACTTCCCTATAGACCCCATTAGTAGGGTGATAAAAAAAGAACGCAGTTATATATAAAAAATTCAAGAGAAAACTGAAGGATACCATGCTGCATAGATCTACTTATTAGTTTATATTCTATTGTGACATTCAGAGGGCAGAAGAGATTTAACAATAAGGTATTTCTGCACAGAGGAAAAATCATAGTTAGTGTTGACAGAAACTGCTATTTTTCAAAAAATAATCATGAACTGTGCAGGAACTTCAGTGCTTATCACCGTCCTCTTTTGACCCTGGACTGGTGTTGGATGTCAAAATAACTTGACAGAAACTAATAGTTTTATTACTATGTAGACACTGAAAACACCATTTGGATGTTTTAAACAGAACTCTTAATATACACACACAGGTTAGTACAAATTAATCTCCCAAACATGCAATTATAAAGCTAGTTTAGAATTCTGACTCCTACACACGAATGCCTCTGGATTACAGATTCCCACAGCATTTAATTACAGTCACTCAAGAATACTAGTTATTGGGAATCTAAAAAAAGTCTTTCTACTTTCAATATATAGGTTTGAAGATCCCATAACAACAATAATCGCCATCATAAACTTGGGTCTCGAGATGCTCAAACAGGATTAATTTTAAAGCTAGACTCATTTAATAATAAATTAAATCATAGAAGACATTTACTACCAATGTCATCATTTTGACATAACCAGTTCTCTGACAGGGATATTAGCAGTCAGTAAATCTGTAAAAATATCCAAAGGCCAAACCCCATGAAACATTTTATGTTCCTTATGAAATACAAAGGCACCAGCTATCCTGAGGACATTAACAAGTCAAACGTGTAGCAGTTATTATCAAATCACAGGCTTAACTTTCATGAGAAGCACATAATGAACTCAAAAAATGTCATTCTCTTCCTCAATCACTTCAGCATTAACAGGAATATAATCAATTTTAAGAAACTATTCCCTGTTTGAGTGAAGGGGTAGACTGGATAGGTAATGTTTCTGTTAAGGAGGAACCAGAGTGGTCAAGAGAAACCTTTACAGCTGTAAAGCTCAGTATATAAACTTGTATACTCAGTCTACAAAACTTGTATAAACCAGTTCTGAGCGAGCACACAGAGTAAGTGAAAGGTCACCACTTCACTGAGACTTTAGCAAACTAAGAGACAGATTACATTGCAGGTAGTCCAGCTTCCACACGGGAGGAGAGGTAAACTACACATAAGAATAAATATATACAAAAACCCACAAACCTACAAGAGGTTATTCTACTGAATTGCAATTGCAAATGTTGTCATTATCAGAGTTTTGCATACTTCTCCTGCCACCTTCTCCTAGGCAGGACACGCAGGGACATTACAATATTTTATTCCAAAGTTCTGGGCACAAAATTGAATACCAAGAATCACTGTATAGTATAGGGAAAAAGATAATGTGCTTAATTTCTCCATACTACTACTTTAAAACTCTTAGCCTTATGAAAATGCAAAGCAGTATATCTAAATAAGGAAGCCAGTTATACCCAATGTTTACACAATGTAGAGATTCTAGTGACACTACTGTAACAATCAAGCCTCAAGCCTTAACAAGCAATACTACAACAATTATTTACGTAGGAAGAAGTGATTTGTATACCTGAGTGTTTGGGCTCACCTCTGTCTCCATGCACTTTCCCATCATAGTTCTTGATGAGTTCTTCAATAAAGGTACCATCCTGGTCAAGCACTTCATCTCCCATATATGGAATGTTATGTAAAACAGTTTCATCCTCTACCTAGGAACAACAGTTATAATCAAACAATTTTAAATTGCATTTTCAAGTGACCATTTCTGCATTGCTATTTTCCACAAGGTACAGGAGTCTAGCTATCACAATTAACTAACTGGCTTCACTGCTTTAGCACATTTACCATTAATTAAAGAAATGAAACAAAACCATCACTGATGTTCAACAATTTTTTGCACTCATGGTGACTGGCTCAAAATACTAACACTAGCTCCTAATCTCAAGGTTAGCAGTGTTTCCAAAAAGCTTCCACTATGGAAACCCATTAAGTTACCTAGCTTTGGGAAGCTTGTATTTGATAAGTTCATTCGCCCTCCCTGGGGATCTCTTCTACAGTAATGTTGGAAACCACAATGGAAACCATCCCTTCATTATTTTGCCAGAGATAAGAAAATATGCCACAAAAAGACTTTAAATTCAAGTTGTCTAAACAGCAAGCAGAAACATGCCTGACAATTTAATCTGAACTCCACTGTCTTTTTTTGTCTGCATATAGACTAAATGCATTAATAATACCATGTTTTATCAGTAGAATTTATGGACCCTGATACTCAGCTGCATCTTCCAACACTACAAAAGAATGCCCTATTGTTAAGAAAATAAATGTAAACTTTCCTGCTGATCATGATTCTGCAGTCCAAAATATCCAAACACTGATGAATTGAAAGCAAGTAGAAAGACGTGTGGAAGAACTCTGTACATATACTGATAAAAATGGTTATTTAAATCACTATGTTATTATTATCACAATAACCAGTCAACAAAGGTGATCATACACAAAATGATGTGACAAAGATTTGCAATAAGCTAAGCTTTCCAAATAACTCAAATACCTACATCAGAAATCTAGAGTTATGGTTTCTGCATACAGTGACACTAATCAGAAAAAAAGGCCATACTCAGGTGCTAAATGAGAATGACCATTACATAGGGAGACTATTTGAGGATTAAGTTCCCTTTATGCCATAAGAATTACTGCTACGGGTATGCTGGTTGATTGTCTTACATAAAAGTATTCATACTCCTCAGAAAACATTTCTCATTACACTAATCATATACTTTCAAATAAATTAACATTTGGTAAAGGCCACACAAGATAATAGGTCACCTGAATTAAATAAACTTTATTGCAAGATTTTAGAGATACTTAGGTTCATTGAGGATAGAGGTTTAGTTTGAAATCAAAGTTATCTTTTTCTTTATTTTATTGGGGGAGGAGGGGCTTATTTTATTGGAGGGGGGGCTTATTTCTGATTATTACTGCCTTACTACCAATACCGAAGACAGAGAGGGTAGTTGGCAATGGATTTTTGCTGGTTTACTTCTAAAATTAACACTTCTGTTTTCTCCATACATTTCTCCTCCCAGTACTTGCTTAAACTTACCATAAAATTCTGTTGAAGGGGAGACCAAGAATACATTATAGGCACAGAAGCAACAGCATTGAGAGTCTTCAGAGGGATGACTTGTTTCGGAAAATCTATGTCGCTGGTAACAGAGCACTGAAATAAGAGGTTGAAGTTACACTTACATAGTAAGATCAGAAAAAAAACCAAACAAAAATAAAACACAGAGCAGTCCACAATGTACCAAATTCTCAAAATTAGCCACATCAACCTTTGAAAAACACATCATTTTTTTTAGGGCATAATAGTATAAATAGTTTTAGCAGGAAAAAACCTCAAGAATTATTTCTATGTCAATACCTTGATAACAGGTCATGATGGATTTTTTCCACTTACTATTAAGTGGCTGTGATAGTATTTTATTTGGACTATTCAACCTACGATACAAATTAAGTTTGGTATCTCAAAACAGATTTAGTACCTGTTGCTGCTACACTGCTGTTAGTGTATTTATTCAAGCCATTTGAGAGCCAACTGAATTCCCCTGGCTTTGGATCAATACACTGCAGATATCATGTATTATTTATGTTATAAAAATAAATAAAATTTTACTTTAATGCCGGCAAGACATCTTATATAAATAAAACCTCCACGTCTTCTTAAGTCCTGCCTTGTTTTCCTGTCATTCTCTGTTTATCTTCATCCTATCCTAAAGCCTTTGATTATGCTCACTGCTTACAAAGGAAAAATGAAAATTAATTCTTAATACACAACTCTGTGTATTAAGTCAATGAGTTTTCAGCTACAGGACTACTGTTTTAGAGATTCAAAGATATATGTAGCCTCCAAAGGATAAACACTCCATAGAAATGTAGACAACATTAAGTTATTTTTTCATCTAATTAACAGTTAACAGACACAAGTCAACTTCTCTCAAATACTTGGGCAGTAGCATGAAGAACTCTGAAAAAAAAGCTAGAAACAAAAGCAGATAGAAACATACAAACCTAGGAGAAGTACAACAAAGAGGATTTCGAGATCGGTAAAACAAAGCTTAGAACAGCTACATGAAAGGAAAAAAGTGGAGACAAAAGATCTTTCTCCTTTCCAGAAGGGAAAGATGAACAGAGCTTCACATTTCTAAAGAAATACAGAAAGTAATGTAACAAACAGTATACAGAGACAGCACCCTGGTAGAATGACACAAGCCAGATTTATTTCTTTTCTTTTGAATCTGTAGCAAATGAAATTAGATTTCTGCTCTGTATATGAATATTCAAGACACTATCTATGCTATGCTACTGCTTTATTTCCATTTCAGGTTAATGTTTAATTTTCTAGCTAGCAGCCATCTAGCATATTTTTCATGTATTTTTAAAGAAAAATACAAAAGTAAAAAAACTAATTACTTTTATCTTTGGAACTAGAAATCTCAGGCTGACAAATAGGCTATGTCAAAATGACTCAAAATATTTGGTACTAAGTCTCAGTTATGTTGCCCTGTTGTTTTGGTATGGAACCCAGCTTGATGTTTAGTAGGCCAGCACGGGACACGTTATTGTCACTGGTTGAAGGCACCCACAGAACCTTTCCATCAAGTCACTAAATTTCTAACCAGTGTCTTTCTTATGCTACTCTGAAGAAATTCAGCATATTAAGAGAAAGAGATTTTAAAGTAATCTTTTAAAGTCTCCACCATTTCTTTGTCTCACTTCTCTCACTATAAATTATGGCAATCTTAAATCAAGCATTAGAGTTCTGACTCATGAGACAGAGACTGGATTTGAATGCAGTAATTAGTGTGCTCTATCAATACAGGCAGGAAATTAATATAAAGAATAGTGAACACCAAGCTTCAAAAAAAAAAGAAAAAAGAAAGAAGAATTGCGAGGAATGATCTTTTACTAACAAAAAAAGGTGAAAATTGGATGTCAATAATTATCAGAAGTTCTGATTCCACAGTGCCATTTAATAGGGAGAGCTGTACATGTAATTGCATATCCAAGGAAGTTTAAAAAAGAACACTCAAAGGTCATGGCCTGCTTGCATGTGAACACACATGCACCTCTGACACACCTCTGTCCCCCAATTCTCCACTAAAATTTGAGGAAAAGGAAAATCTGCACATAAAGTGCTTTGTTTTTTTTAACTTATTCACAGGAAGGTCTTTTCCTTCTCATCCTAGCTTTTCAGATTACAGATAAAACACCTTCAAACTGGCTTAGTTGGAAGAAGTGCCTGAAGAGCAACTGAGAAAGAAGATAAATTAACCTGAGCTGAATACAGAAAGTTGGAGTCGGCTTAAACCATTGTTCAAGCTACCAACATGACACAGGACACAATCCTGAGTAACATGCTCTAGGATGACTCTGCTTGAATAGAGAGGCAGTCTCTTCTAATCTTACCCATTTGGTGATCCTGTGAAAGCCAGTTTCGGTGCCCAAGTTGCACCACAATTAGGGAAATGTTTTTCACAAATTTAGCTTCCAGTCTGCTTGTGCAACACAAGGGTTCATCAACCTAACTAACTCCTTTTAGGATCTCTATGGCTAAATGACTTTAATTAATATAAAGAAGACTTTGTCAAGTGGGTGTGTTCACAGATTTTATGTGCTTTAACTCACTAAGAACCAAAGTAACCACTCATTTTTACAACTTGGAGAAAACTCCAATAGGTGCAAGAGTAAACTCCCAATACCACAGAGACAAAACAGTTTGATTAAAGGATGCTGAGGTATGACCCAAGTATTACCAGAAACAAAGAAGCTTCACTTTTGTGTTCCATTTAAAGCTAGGTAGCCTGCTACATATTTATTGTTTTCCAGAAGTCATATGATCAAAGTAAATAATAAAAAAATTCTTTTTAAGCTGCAAAGTCATATCATGCTGGGGGGGGGGGAAGAAAAAGAACAGCCAATTTTCCCGTAATAAAACGAAAACGTGCTAACAACCTTGTAAGTGGAATTACCACAACACATGTTAACCAACCTCCCTGGTCCCGCGCAATGAGCTCACAGAAGTCATGATGTGAACAGGCTGTATCCTACGTTGTTTCCATTCTTGATTTAAGATTTCAGTTCTTTCCAATATCTTCTGACGATTAGAATTAAACATACTCTAAAAATTAATCACAGCATTACAGATAAATCAAAGACTCTAAATTAACATGCTAGCATATTAAGGCATTATAATATTAAAAATAAACAAAACCAGACAGGTTAAAAAAAAAAAGTGCTCAGAACTCAATCATACAGATTTTGTTTAAATGTCAGTGAGATGCAATACAGCTCATTATCCCTTTCCTCAATTCAAACCACATTCGCACATTTAGATACTCAAAGGTTTAGCATGGAACTACATTCTAAAGAGTATGCAGCTAAAGAAGTTGCCATACTTGTTCTCCACAGTATCTTTTGATACTTAACATTCTCAATCCAATTACATATAAATGTATCACACCTGTTTATAAGACCATAGACTTAAGATAAGTTTTCAGTAGGTTAATGAAGTATTCAGTGAAATTGTTATAGCAGATGTTAACTGCAAGACACCTCATACTACAGAGGGAAATCAATATTTGTATAATTTCATAAGCAATAGAACCAAAAGATAAAGCACCTTTACTTCATCCGCACGTCGGAACCTCTTAAGCTGTCTCAGTCTCATATATTCTGATTTTACGCGTTTTCTCCAACAAATTGGTCCCTTCTCAGATTTTTTTCCGGTTTGACCCATGATTATCCTACAAGAGACAATGTCATGTTAATATTACCAAATCTGATGTCACTGCTTATAGAAGAGGTGGGAGTGAAGTTAGGTAGGACAAAGACATTCCTTTAATACCTTTCATATCTAATTCCTTTAATTCCTTTCAATCAGACACTTGCGATACCATCCCAATCCAACGGAGAAAAAAAAAGAAAATGTATTTAAGTGAGAGACACTGGAAAACAGTGATTTTAATTACAGATCAGTGGGACCCTTCACACTTGCTTTAACCACTTCTAATGCCTCTCTACAAAAAGGTACCTGATGGATTTAAAGGGGTGAAGAGGAATAAATCAAGATTCCCACTTCAAAGATACACACCGGAATCCCTACAAGCAGCCTTGTAAATTAACTTCTGGAGATCTATGTTCACGGCAGACAAACTTTTTCCTGCTTGCAAGAGTGGTCCTCTTCACTAAGACACCAACTCCTACAATAGGCTTCTGGAGTTGACCTCAAGAGCAAAGAGGTACTCTCAAGTACAGTCCTCCTACCTAGCCTCTCAAGCATGAAGAAATTCTAGAAATAGACTGAATAAGAGACTTTGCTCTTTTCTCAAGTGTTCTATAAAAACCCAAACTGTCCGCTGATTCCACTTTTGCTGATCACCCTCCTAGTGCCAACTGCTTCACTTTTATGTTACAGGACTGTTGGCAATGAAGTTGTATTTTTACATTACAATCCAAGCACATTGCTGGAATATGCCAATCTGCTCAGTATTTTTCAAAATCAAGGACCGTATGCTGCAACTATGCTGGCAAAGACTATTTTGACAGCATCCTGAAACTAAACCACTACATCAAAGACTGGCTTCCTCACAAAAGCTGCATTGTAATAACCTACAATATTTCACTGAATAGATCAAAATATCATTCACAATAGCCATCATGGATGAAAGGCTGAAATGTCCAGTTGTCTAAGCTCAATATATTCTCAAACAAGCATCATTAATTTGAGTAGTAACAATTACAGCCCTTCTAATTATCAAGGTAGGTCAACATGAACAGAGGTGCCATCTTCACGCTCGAGTCAAAGGCCCAGTGTTACTTTCACTGCCCCACACCACAGCTCCCCTGGCAGTCATATGTACAGCTTTATCCAAGTTATTAAAAGCTTGCTGCTCTATTTTCAGTAGCTCTGCACAGGTCAGATGTGAGTTCTATCAGATTTTATGATGGGAGGGGGGAAACTAATACAGAGTCTTTTTATTCTCTGGGTTACACCTTCATTTATACTGAACAAAAAAGGTAACAAGTCTATAAGAGCCTGACACACATCTTCATGCAAGACTTAATAATCATATTTTGTAAGAAAAATCGTTGGGTTTTTAGATTTAGAATGAAAATTAATCTACAAACAAATGGCAGAATTGCCAGCCCAAATCGTGGGCAATATTCTTTGATTAAAAAAGACACAATACAAATAAGTATCACATAATGCACCTGACTAGACAGAGGTGGAGGATGGAGAACCAGCACGGGGAGGTAAACATAGAGTAAAGCATTAAACATGGTTAGTCTGCTTCCATGCACAAGATAGCAAGCAGAATCCACCTGTATCTTATTTGCCACAACACCAAGAGATAAAAAAATAAAATAACAATTTAAAAAATAATTCTGGACCATGCATGTTAGAACACGGTCAAGACAATCAGTGATTCAAAGTGCACTATGATATTGATTAGAGAACAGCATAAAAACACCATGAAGTACAGAAAATACATTCTACTATATGTTAAACTAAGCAAAGCAAAAATATGGAAAAACATCCCATTAACTGGAAATAAATTAGACATAGAATAAGTGCCTTTAAATAACAGAATCTCAATTTGTAAACAATACAGAACGTCGAAATTCCTTCAGTTACGATTCAGCCAAAAGAAATGGAAAAAGTACCAATGAACTCTAAAGATAAATGAAAGCTCAGCTGACAATACTGAAGTAACAGAGCTCATAAAACAAAAACACAGATTACATTTACTTATTCTAATACTGCATCAACCACAGCCCTTCTTGTTCTAGTTTCCTGGAGAATAACAAATGACTCAGCCTTAAAGAAAGCTTTCTTAACTGAAATTAATTTGCCAGATAAGCCCTGCTCATCAAAAGCAGATCTATATGGAAATCATATATAATTGGATTAAAAACGACAACAAAACGAACTGACAAAACCCAACAGAATTTCCATCTTTCTTTCATACAACTTAAATACAGCCCCAGGAAGACCCCACAAACAAGGCTTTAAGATGTGAGAGATATGTACCTCCATCAAATAAAAAATACAATCTATTCAATTTTCCAGCAATGAACATCATTGTTACCTGTTGTATTAAAATGGTAAAAAATAACACCTCACAAGGAGATTCATATTTCCTTTTAAAACAGCATAACTTAGGAACACTCAGGTCATTCATCTGAAAACAAACGTGACTTATAAGAACACTCCTCTTCCACTAGTTCAAAGCTGCTATCTGGGGCACAATACAGAAAATGACTTAAATGTTCAAGGCACCAAAGAACAAATCATAGAAAATGAAAAAAAAAAATTGCACTGTTGCTTATGTCAAGTTATAGCAAGAAAAAGTTCTTCTAGTTAAAGCAATAACATTAATGGGCAACAGTCAGTGGGATATACATCATATATTAAGTCAAATAAGTACAAACAAATTAAAAACTGCCTCTTAAATGTCAAATCCATATTATGAGAAAAAGCACTGAGTGGAAAGGAAACATATGCATAGATAGGTTATAGAAAAAAATATAGCTGAGAGAAAAAAAAAAACTGTCCTGGATGCATGTTTGTAAAAAATTGTCAGTGATTTTCAAAACTGATATAACAATGAACTCTTAGCAGCAGCTTTTCAAACCAAGTGAATCGTGCTTTTATGTTTCTGGGCAGTTAAACATCGCCAAAGTAAAATTACAATGTTGCTAACATATGTACTATGGTAGGGGGTAGGGCAAGAAGAGCATATTCATAGGGGACAGAGTTAATTCTCACAGTGCAATTGATCCATCATCTTCACATTAGGACTACAGACAAACGCTACTGGCAATTTCCAATGTCAATTCAAAGGTTGTCCCCAAAACTATACATTTAAGAAACTAAACCTGAGAAACTGGGATAAGAAGTTTCACAGGCAAGGACAGGGAATGTTGGGGAGGGCAAAAAATGAGACAGAACTATGAAGTCTTAGAGGGGTGCTGGACATTACCTCCATCCCTGCAAGCAAAAGTAATTTGGAGAATTAAAAGACTTCAGGGAAACAACATAAACTCAATCTCTGAGGCAAATTCAGGATTGTAGATGCTGTCTCAAGCCTACTGTTGGTCTACTTGCATTAGTACCTGTGTGTTAGAAAAACACTTCCCAAATCACTTTCTTACAAATGTGAACAGTAGAAATTATGAAAGTACTTTGAGCTGCAAAAAACTACAGAGTTTTCACTTGGTTAGACAAGAAAAGAACATTCTACATTTTCCTTAAATTATGTTGAATGGGAATCAGCTAGGATTGCACAGCAGAGAAGTTAATGAATGTTAAAATCAATTTGTTAGAGCTAGCCAACTTTTCATATAAAGTTTCAGAATATCCCCTACAATAGCCAAAGTGGCACAAGCTAAATCCCATCTGTCTAAGAATAGTTAAGCCTGTTTTAAGACTGCTAAGTGTTAAACAGTTTTCATTTAATAAATGAAACATGATACTGGTTTGTCTCAGTGCAATGGTCTGATTCTGAGAGCCCCCAGGCCTTGTCCTTCTTCTCTGTCCCCATTTCCCCTTCTGAATCCTGCTGCTAGTTGTTTCTATTGTTTTTTAAATCTTATTCTTTCCCATTTTTCATCCTTCTGATAAAAAGGGTCCACAGAAACCACCTAACTGCCAAAGATCCCAGTCCTGAAAAGCTTTATCCAAAAGAAAGAAACTATGTAGCAGCCAACTGTTATTTATGGGCAGATTACGGCATCTCCAACACAGATACAAAGAAAGCAAGCACAACGCTAAAGCAGTTATACTGTTTCTAGAGAAAGCTCATCTCCGAAAGTGCAGAATGACTTCCATACAGAACCTGAACTAAAGAGATCTCACCTGGCATCCCACTAAAAAAGGAAACCTTGCCATAACTCCCTGCACCTTCTTTGCAGAAGAGGGAACACTGGGAAATGTGGTGAGACATCCCAAGTGATTCAAGCGTCAACACTCAAAGACTGACAGACTGTCTCATTCCACACTAGGCAATCATTCTGATTCCACAGCAAACAAGGAGAAGCATGAACCACACTTAAAGGCAAAAGCTTAACATCTTGGGTCCAAAGCTGCACTGAACACAGCCAGCCCTCCCAGAGCACAGCACTGCAGAGCTGAAGGGACCCCACGCTGCCTATCCCACACATACAGCTCAGCATTGCTGCACTCTGCTGCCCAGCTCTCATGACATCCACACTTTTCCATTACTTGTCCTATTACATCTACCTAATTCCCTGAGCTATAGAATATACCCTTGCACGATGTATCTAAGTGTATGGGTAGCACTGAACATTAGATAACTATACTAAGGACAAAACCAATGTAATTTCAAACAGACCACTACCAAATAAAAGAAAAATAACAAAACTAACCCCTCTTTTTGAAGTAAGGGGATTGAACTATACTATTAGGAATGAGACATACTGAAGCCACCTAGACACTGCTTTAAGAGGAAAAAAAATCTACAAGAAAATAGAAACAAAAACATAGATATTCTTTTCAGTTTCTACTCATACTTGCATATCTGGAAATGAAAAAAACAAAAAATGGCAGTCCCCTAAAGCATATACATTTATGTTTTAAAGAAAGTCAGCTGAGCATTTCATAATTCTGCACAAGATTCACATTCTTTATAGTAAGTTTTTATGAAAATTCATGTCTATAACCTTAAATCAGCCAACATTTACTTTCAGCAGACAAACTCTGTTCAACACATCCAAGATTCACAACAAAAGACAAAGAAGTGTAGAACAATTTCAGCTCAAATTGCTCCTGCTTTGCCTATGGAACATAGAAATAGCCTTATTTAAAGACAACGTCCTATTTTTCTTTGATCGTTTTGGCAATATCCATCAGTGACAGACAAGTACACAGATAATTCTCTAAATTAGGCAGTCTATTCAAACAGTCATATGGCTGTCAAAAACTATATTTAAGCTCCTCTGGCTACTGTGCCAAATTTCAGGAAAAAAATCAATTAATGAAAATTTTCAACTGAAAAGCATGGGAGAACAAATGAGGGGGTCTGCCCTTTTGAAAGAACGCTATTAGTTTGTAATTGTGCTTAATATTACACAATATTGTAAGCTGTAAAAATACTACATTATCTTCCCTCTACTTAGGATTCCTGTTTGGAGATATTTATGAATTAAAACATATTTTGTACAGTATAATTTATCAGTTCTTTTTTTGTGAATTAATCTACACTCATAAGGTCATTCACATATTTTAAATATATGCATAAACTGCTACAATACTGCTCTTCAGAGCACTCTTAACCAACAGTTTCAGTGCAGGGGATGGAGGGGAATATAAAACCCAAGAGAAACTGCATATGCAATCTGATGCAAACAGAAAAATAAAATAAGTAATCATGCTTTTTGCTGCCTACAGTAAGGAAGGAATACAACCATCCACATAGGTTATGGGCAGGTAGTGGGAAGTACTACTTCTACGTTCCATAAAGCAAAATGCTTTCACATTTGCTTCTCAGAACATCGAGCTCGAAAAGAATGTATTTACTGCAACACCCTGCTCAACAAACTGCTCCTTGATCTCTTCTACCTCACCCTTAGCATGCCCACAGCCCTGTCAACAGTGACTGACTTTCACTAACTGGGAAGCCCAAAACATGCATCTGAGCTGGCTCCATGAACTCTCATTTCAAATACTATAAACTTAATTAATTAGATTCAATGCTACATAATGAAGGTGTTCACCAAAGTAACTTCCTTCGCAGCAATGGCACCTTATAGTCATCCCACCCTTCCCAATTCTTTATTCACACCCCAGTACTGTCCAAAAACTGGATTAAACTGACCAAGGATAAATAAAAACTCACTTTTTGTCACTTTTTCTGAAACACAGATGAGTTTGATGACCCCATCCACAGTTGTGGCTTCCTATGCAGAGTTATAAAGCAGAAAGAATTTGATAGAAAAACAGGCCAACCCTAGAGAAAAACTACTGCAGGCAATGAGACCACAAACAGGCACTGGTTTTATACATCAGTTTGCTCTGGAGCGGCAGACATGCTCTTGAGCTGCAAGCTTTTATCAGATCCAGACAGCATACAGGTCTTTCAGCCTGAGCTTATGCAATCTTACTAATGGACGAATCATTATATAATAAACCCTATCTGAAGTCAACACGGAACTTCTTCAAGCATCTACAAAACTTACAGAAAAAAAAACAAGCCAAAGCAAACAAACAAACAATCAAAAACCAAAACCAAAGAAAACCAATCACACCCCACCACACCCTTCTATGTTTTTTCACAAATTAAAAAAATTTTTGCTTGGGCAGCAGAATTTAGGACAACTTTCATGTTCAACTCAAAAACCAGAATTTTAGCAACAAAAGGAATTAACAAGATTTTTTTCATAAGCCTGAAAAAAAAATTCAATACTTGCTAGAAAACAAAACAAAACAAACAAACAAAGCAAAACAAAAAAAAAAGCTATTTTAAGTATCAAAACCCAATGCATCAAGTTCAGATACAAAGTTGTTAACTTTCGCTAACTACCTAAAAAAATCTTTTTTGTTACAGGATTTTACACAGCATGATACAATTAAATGATTGTTCAACTGCAGCTAATTAGTTTTCATGCATGTTAAACTAAACTTTACTGCATACACTCTTGGAAATTTCCTTTTATGATTTTACTTCATGCACCCTAAATGCAAAACAAGACAATACTCTCTTTGAACCTATCCTAAACCTTTCCAGAGTAAGCAGTTTCCAGGAGAGTCTTATTACAACTACCAAGCATCTGAAAATAAACTATCAATAAAACACATACGTATTGCTAGACTTAAAAAAAAGTAACTTGAAAGTTAATTATAACTTAGTGCTGTAATCTGCCAGATCTGTCTCCTTCATTTATATCAAACTTGTGTTAACAGTACAGAGAGATTCCTGGGGAAAAAATATGGTCAAGAAACAATATTATTCTCTATGGTTAAGTAAGAAAAATTGTCCACTGTTGTGACTTCAGAGCTGCTAACTTTTTCCACATTAAGTTATGTAGGTGTGGGGGAAGAATGACACTCACAGAACCTCTAAGGGCTTTTTACCTGAGCTATTAGCAGAGACACACAAAAATATGCCTAGAAGTTTTGTAGTTGCTACTCTGCTTTCAGGATTTTCTAAAGCAAAACAAAACATGGTTTTCTTTTAAACTTATCTATGTAAAATACCACGTTCTCATTTCCATGGGAAGAAAAATATTCCCAAGGTCAGTATCAGCTTGGGTATTTCAGATACCAAACCAAACCAACTAACAAAAATCTCTATCTCTGAAATACAACATAGGAAATATTAGCATAGTTTATCAATAATATTTCACTATAAAAACAACAATAGTACATTAAATCTTTTACAGAAATAGTCACAGAAAAATAGATGGAAGTAAACTGGGGGGTGTGTTTTTTACTATTTAAATTATAAAAATGTGGTATTTTAACTTAGTAGTGCAGTTCAACCTATTTTAAAACAAGAAATATATAAAAATACTTCTATATGTTTAAAAATTTACCTCATGTTGATATTCCATAGGCTGAAGTACTGTATCATTAAAGGCAGTTTAAATTTCAAGAGAGAATTTACATCAAATGCTGCCACCAGTTCAACTATCTTCCTCAAATGCTATTTGGTGTTAGTTTTACCTGGAAAAGACATCTTCTGTCCACTGTGTAAGTGGTCACTCATTTCCACTTCTACACATCTTTCTCTACTGTGAGAGCTTAAGTGCTTACGATTCTGTAATCAAACTAGGTCAGGAAAAAAAAATCTGTCTGAACAGCCCAGAAAATGAATATACTTGGTTTTTAAACACAATTTTTCAACAAAATCAGCTCCACATGCTGGTTTGTTCAGCAGCCACAAATTTGTTCAAGCCATGAATTCTTGAATCCACACAAGGGACAGGGGTTTAACCTCTACCGAGCTCTCTTTGGCAGTATCTAAAAGAAAAGGATAGGTTCATGAACTGACCTAAGCAGGTAACTCCAAACAGCTCATCTGTGTTTCCTT